TTTTCATTGCTATATACAAAGCACATTACTTCTTGTCCTGTCCTCAGTAGACAAGGAGAAAGAAAGTTGATCGCTGTCATCTTTGTTACCTGTCTGAATTCTCTGAATGCCACTCACAAGCCAGTTGGCTCCGGCAAACTTTTATTCTTACCAGGGAACGATAACAATATTTTGTTGTTTTTCTTAAAGTGTCACAGGATATAAAAATAAAATTAACTCTACAGTGACTATCACTGTATCACTCAGGATATGATATCCTGAGATATCTGGAATTTAGTACCTCTATTTTTGTCTAATCATGTAAACATTTGCACAAATGAGAACATTTGTAGCTATACCAAGTCTTCCCTAGTGTCATCCTCTGGCATCTAACTACTGGCTTACAGGCACTCTGTAACAATATTGGTTGGGACAGATCAATCTGTTGTAGTATTTAGACAACTCTTCATACTCAGTTTGCTCAGTTCTCTGTTCTGCAAACAAAATCACGCTACGAAAATTGTTCCAAGGCCAGATTACAACCTATGCCTTTGACATTGTACATACACGGCTTCAACTGTATAAAATGCATCAGAACTATCCCTGGATTTGAGCCTGCTAATACAAATAAACACACGTAACCAACATCATCCTAAGCACTGATCAAGAAGCAAGAACACGAGAACAGGAGTTTAAAGTGAATGTGATTGTCAGACACAAGGAAATACTACAAGTAGATGGCTGTTAACTTTGATTTAGATGATGTGGGTAGTATCCTCATTCCTACTGCCCTAAACAGTACCCAGCCACATGAGGTGAAATCCTTGATGGTAGATGGTATTAACTGATCACCTGGGACCTGACACGGCTGAAGAGAAAACACATTTCCAATCACTTTTGCATAACTGTACTTGATTCTTCCTCCAACCACTTCTGAACTGGGAAAGCATATAATGAACGATATAACTCTTGCCATCAATGAGAGCATAAAAGTTAGAGTACATTAAGAACAGACAAGGCCCTGAAAAAGTAAATATTTTTTTTAAAAAAGCCTTTATAGATAAAATAGTTGTTCCCATCATCTAAGAAGCAATTGCCAAGGTTACTAATGCACTAGAAGTCCTGCTGATTTTTTTTCAAACACTGCACAGTATTTTTCTTCTGGAACATGATCTTGCAATTATACAGGTACTATGAAATAAAACAAAAACAAAATCAAAACCCAAACAACCTAAAACATACACATATCCAAAACATATCTGTTTGCAATAGGATTATATCTGTTTGCAATTTAAAATGCCTTTTTTTCCCTGATATTATACATGTTCATGATCAAAACTAATAGGCACAACAGACTCCATAAGCAGGAAACTACTACGCTATTTTAGATTCAATGATTCTTTTATGAGTAAAATCTATATTGAGACACACACTGAAAACTAGATTTTTTTTTTAAATGATGCTGATAAAAATCCTCTAACATTGCTCTGCTGAAGCCCTGTTTGAACTAGAGAAACCTCCTGTGATAAGTCTTTGTGCTGAAGTTTCAAATCCTCTGGTAAGTGTCCTCGGCTGTACTTCTAAATATTTTTTTCCCATGCTGATTTATTACATAAACAAATTCCACATCAGAGATACACGTTGTTCAGCACTTGGGATGTGTTTTTTTGCTCTTGATTTATGAAAACACGAAGGCTCCAAAAATAAAACCAGCTAATTTTAGTACCGAGTTCCAAATACCGGGTTTCATCTTCACCATCTGTTTATTTGAGGACAGTGACACCAAGCGGCAGAAGTTACTTTA